GCATTACCTCAGTAACCAAATTTTATTCAATACAAAATGATACTCACAAACAGCGAAGTAATTCAAGCATGTTAGTCCTCAAAGCTCTGAAGAAGAAGGGATGCCCTTCGAAACGCGTCAACTGTTCTGAGTGTCTACCCCTATGATGGGACACACGCAGGTTGCTTAATGTTCAAGTCCCTTTGAGGACTTACATGCTTGAACTTCGCTGTTTGTGAGTATCATTTTGTATTGAATAAATAAATTTGGTTACTGAGGTAATGCGCAAGGTTGGTGCGCTTTTTGTTTTGTTTCGCCAAGCACGTAGATAACATCTTTACTCTGGCTTCAGACCATTCTCAGTTCACTGACACGAAAAAAACAAGTACTCGTATCAGGAAAGTCAAAGGACCAGCATAACAGCCAGGAAACTAACATTTTCAAGTATAGGTCAGCAATGACAACTTACATATTTAATTTAGGAAATCTTAGTAAAGCCGCACCTCAACCTCCTATTTTTACTTACCTCTAACTAAAACCTTAAACTGGTTGAAATTCTAATGGTACTGTAGGGACCAACTAAATTTCCAACTAAAGTGTGTGTCAGTCCCTGCTTAACAGAGGTTGATTGATTGACTTCTATCGAAGAGACATATTAGAAAATGTTATCAATCAGCGGTTACAGCCAATCAGCTGCTGGTGCTGCTGTCAGAATACAATGCACCAACAATGTATGTATTTCATGCATGTTACACTGAACCTGGCAGCCCTGTATATATACATACACACAGGTGATATGTCAATCCCATCTTCTATGGATATCCCCACAGCTGTGCCACGTTCCCGTTGTGTCATTGGTGGGGGGATTCCTTCATCCATCTTATTTATATGGATGGAGGAATCCCTTAGGTTATTTCATTCAGTCCGCCAAAAAAAAAAAAAAAAAACTAGCAGTGTATGAATGTTGGTAGTCTATCAAGAAATAAAAAGGCTAGACTCAGATTTTCTGCAACATCCCAGAGTAATGGAAGAGGATTGTTTTCTCTCCAAAGCAGCTTTTAGAACATCAGACTGACCTCTGTCAAAACAGCAATTCATCTGTTCTCAGCTAAATGGTTTTTGCTTCAACTTTGTCGGATGTGTGCAAAGAATGAATCATTAATCTTTCAAAGCCCTTGTAAATGTAAACTATACAGTTAATACAGTATATGAAAGTAAAAAAAAAAATACTTTATTATAGTAATCTTACTTTTATAAAATGATGTGCATCATTGTATAGGGCTTTTTGTTTCCTTTTTTCTTATGTCACAAAAATATAACTGGTGACTGACACATATATTACTCTAAGATCCTGGTGTGTATAGAGCACAAAACTGGTTGTGCACAATTAATATTCCTTTGGAAAGTAAAACAGTTCATATACAGTATATTTTATGTAGCTGCTTGTTTGGAGCTTAAAGCGGAACGTCATTCTCTCAATCCCAGGCAAATGATGTCATACATCCCAGGAGTCTTCAGTATGAAAGGAGGGGTTTTCTTAGCTAAGCACACCCTCCTTCCCGCATGGCTGAGCTAAGGGCAGACTACTTCCAGCAAGTAAATGCTAGATTAATCTTTTGCCCTTACTCAAGATGACCACAGATAGAAATGCTAGGAGGGTTTTTTTCAAAGTGATTTCTCAGCAAAATAAAGCATGGAGATGGGTGAGATTGCTTTGAATATTAAAAATGAATCTAGTATAGTTTTTGGTTGGTGGTGCTCAGATGCAGTGTAGTTCTGATTTATATAAGTTTCGATGACAAGTATAAAGAAAAAGCTTAAAAGAGAATTATGGGCTCTTTAAAAAAAACATACTCACCTAGGTGGATGCAGCATCGATCCAATGCAGAATCTGTCCCACTCTGCCTCTGCACAGAGAATTAAGCAATCAAACACCATGATTGCTCAGTTCTCCCCCTCTGCTCTGAGCAGAGAGCTGACTGTCAGTCCCTAGCTCTCTGCTCAGCACCTCCAGCACTCACTGGAGCGCTGGGCTGTGGAGATGCAGCGGTGTCACAGCAGATTGTTGAGAGGCTGAGCCAGGTGCCGTTCCAGGGTTCTGGGTGAATCTCGACCATATGGTCGGGATCTTTTCAGTGCCTGAACCGGCTCTGTGATGACAGCCGACAGCGGGCTTCAACCTGCTGATGGCTGAAAATGGTTCACAGGAGTGCAGAACTAACTGCACTCCTGTGATCCATAGGAGAAGTATAGCCAAAAAAGCTTTGGCTATAATTCTCTTCTAAAGCGATATTAGACCCAAAACAAAAATGCATTATATTGTAGCTTACCAATTCTTATATGTGGTGGCTGCATTGGTTTTCTTTTTTTAAGTTTTTTTTTTTAATTATTCTTTATTTTCACCTGGTGATCCAGCTAGTACATTTGTTATTTTCCAACTTACTTTAACAGACCAAGCTGTCAAGCAAAAGTGGCAGTTAGAAGGTTGAGACAAACACTGACAAGGGTGCGTACAATGGTCAGCTTATATTCATTTATGTAAAGCATTTATCCCAAAATGGGAAAAATTAGAAATTGTTAGTAGTGTTGGGCTATATATTCGACTCGAACGTTAGTTCGACTAGAACATCGGCCGGTCTTGTGTTCTGCGAACACATGAACAGTAAGGGCATTCGGCAGACTGTTCACTGCACAATGCACTGTGCCCTGACACAGGTCAGGTGCAATGCTTTGGTCAATCACAGTGCATGATGACATCACAGGGGGCTGTTATCGCACTATTTAAAAACTCTCATTCTGGCGCAGCTGTCAGACGGCAGGAGCCAGTGTCAAGAGCAGAGTGGTTTTTTTTGTTTCTTTTTTTGGGTCAGCGTCAGGCATCGTGATTGATGTTGGATCTACTTCGGGGGACAGTTTTTTAAATTTTTTTTTTAATAAAGGACTGGTCAAAGCCTGTCTACTGTAATTTTTTACACTACACTTTATTTTGTGAATGAATAGCGGTACCATGTGGCCGGGATTTGGGGGCCCATTTGCTAAACGGGGCTTCCAGATTCTGATAAGCCCCGGGATCGCAAACCCCCACAACCACCGGCTATGATTTTGGGGAATAGGCCTTTGTCCCCATCAACATTGGGACAAGGTGCTTTGTGACATGTGGCCTGGTACGGTTCAGGAGGAGGGGGGGGCGCTCACTCTTTCCCCCCCCCCCTTTCCTGGCCTGCTTGGCTGCATGCTCAGATAAGGGTCTGGTATGGATTTTGGGTGGAACCCCCATGCCATTTTCTTTTTAAATTTAGCATGGGGGTATCCCTCAAAATCCATACCAGATCCCAAAGGGCTTGGTATGGATGGGGGGGCACACTTTTTTTTTTAATACTTTAATTGCCGGGCAATGCAGGCAATTCTTTTTACATTCAGAAAAATAAAGAATGTGTTTAGTAGCTGTGTGGTATCTTACCGCATACTCAGATGCAGCAAGATACTGCTTAGTGGATTCTCCTCTCTGTTCAAAGTTTGTGTTTGCATTTTTGTTATGTTTGAATGTTCAACCGTGAACTGTACAGCAGGGTGTTTGGCCCATCACAAATTGTTAGCTGTAGTTCGGCTTTAATTTCTTAGTCCCATCTAAATCTGTTAGTCTAACACTCCCCTCTCTCCAGACTGACAATGCTGCTGTCATATGATGTCTCCAGTGCTCCTCCATCCAGTGTAGGGACACCCTAAGACAGGAAGTGTGTTACTGGACAAATCACCAGGTGAAAACAAAGAAAACAGAGGCTAAAATAAGAAAATGAATGCAGTCTCCACATCTAAGGATTGGTAAACTGTAATATATACACCATTTTTGCTATTTTGCTATAACATTTTACTGATCAGTCAATAAGGATATGTAGCTGTGTGAATACCATGCATTTGAAGAACTTCTTTTGAGATTCTGTGAGCATAAGCAATCCTTTAAGCACTGGACATTCATCTGTCATTTTCGGTGAAAGCTGATTCATGATGGAGGCACTCAGTGAATGCATATAATGCTGTTGCACATTTATTGACCACTTGAGGCTAAAGGTCATTAGCAGCTGTAGGGTAACGTAAATGATACATTGTTTGTGACATGTGGCAAGTGTCATACACTATGACACTGGTACAGATGGAGCCAGGAAGTTGTATGAATAACTTGTTTGTAGTTATCATTTACAAATGCATCTTTATCATAGAGAATTAATCTGCAAATCTATTATTCAGCTTTCTAAAAGTCTGACCAAAAATAGTACAAGTTGACCCTCTGACATACTGTAAAGGGATATTAATGGCTGCATTTAGGTTTTACTGAGCAGCATGTGTCTCAGAAATCTGGACTTCTTTAAGCTATAACGAGCAACTGCTATCAATATGTTCTCAAGGATATAAGTGGAGAAGTGCTTTCTATTAATGAACATGCTTGGATTAGAAACAGTTTGTGTGACAGACGTACTTTCAATTCCCTGTGAAATCTCTAATTCTGATCTGAAAACACCTGTTAGTACTTAACGTCTTTTATGACAGATATGTCTGACGCAAGTTTAAATTTACACATATAAATGTATGACCAGATCTGTAAATTGGTCATAGAGATATATTGCTGTGGCCATGAAGCCTTCTAATTTAAAGAAAATTCATTTCACATCCGCAGCAGACAGTATACATGAAAACAATTGCCTAATTGTTCTCATGAGGGATGTGTACTGCAAGAAATGTATGTATTAAAGCAGTTGTCGAGACGAGGCCTTGATGAATCACAAAGCTGATGACAGAAAATAATCAGCGTTTACTACAGAAGCTTTTACTTCCCAAAGATCAATACACATCTTCACACAAGTCACTGGGTTTGAAGAGTACACTTTTATGTCTTGACATCGGCAATTTGCTTCGCAATAATTATTATGATACACTTCAAGTGTCAAAAGATTTCATTGATCTATATTAGTCCATGATGTTATATCTTTTCTCACAATATACTTTAATGTTAAAGTGTTACTAAACTCAGGATCCTGCATTCACTATATCTGATCTCCCACAGTACACACAACATGGAACTGCTATAATTTTAGTCAATATGAACTGCTAAATATGTTTTCTCATCAGCAGTTAGAGCAGTCTTGTGACTTCAGCAGGGCACTGGTTAAAGCTTGTAGGAGTAGTTTTCTTTCTGCTCTAGGAGGAAGCAAAACCCCTGACCTTTGTCTGGACAGTGCTGTTTGACCCTGTGCTGATCACATGCACTCTCTTAAGAAAAAAAAACCCTCTAGCAATACACACTAAACTGTGCATGTGCATGTGGCTATGGGTTCAGTCTGTCTTATCAAGAGATAAGACATGGACATTTGAACAAGAGGGGGAGCAGAGAAAACAGGATCAAACGGCCTTTTTACACAATGCAGAAGATTAACCCCTTAGCTTCCACAGTGAGTATGACAAGCATGCTTTACTGCACATACAGACTGATTTTACTGTTTTGGGTTTCATAACATTTTAAATCTGCAGCATTTTTTAGCTTAACACATTGAGCTCAATAAATAAAATTTTCCAAGTGCATACAGTTTAAAACATTCCAATGGTGCTAGCTTCTGATTTTACTGTTTGGGTTTAGTAACACTTTAATGTTACATTGTTTAAGTGTTACTCAACCCAGGACCCTGCATTCACAGTACTCCCACAGTACACAGAACATGGAAATGCAATTATTTTAGTAAATATAAACTGCTACATACCTTGTGACTTCTATCGGTGTCCAGCAGAGCACTGGTTAAAGCTTGTAGGAGTTTTCATTCTCCCCTGATTGTCTTATGAGGCTACATAACCCCTGACCCTCTTTCTGGACAGTGTTGATCGGCCCTGTGCTGATCACATGCACTCTCCCAAGAAAAAAAAAATATCTAGCAATACACACCAAACTGAGCATGTGCCACTTGCCCTCAAGGCTAAAGGCTCTGGTCTATCAGGAGATTCATTGGGGACAGTAGAAGCATGGAAGGATCAGAGCAGACAGGATCAAACATCCTTTTTACATAGTGCAGGGGATTAACCCCTTAGGTTCCACAGTGAGTATAACAAGCATGCTTTACTGCTTATACAGACTAATTTTACTGTTGTGGGTTTAGTAACACTTTAAGGGAACATATAGTTCAACATATCCAAAGAGTAGTGGAGGTTGTTAATATGTTTATGGTATATAAGGCATATTGGCTTATGAAGTGGACCCTGGCCAAGGAATACGAAATATTAGTATTAGGGGCGGAGCTTCACGGACACTGTCATTTCACCAGCCCCCTTTTGGCTGTGGATCTCCGCAGTTGCCAGCGCCTTTCAGCTGACAAGCTCTGAAGTTACTGGCATCTTTTGGTTGGCGATCTCTGCGACTATACAAAGTTGGTGGTCTGTGGCTGGGCAGATGAGTACTGGATCTGCTTAGATGGATGATTCTCTCTCTTAAAGTGACCTATGTATTTTATTTTGTAAATGTTTTTAGAGCACTGTTTAGTTGTCTTTTTAATAAAACAGAGAGCTCTATTTTTTTTGGTGTTTGTTTATCTATTGCATGTATGCCCTGTAAAGGGTTTCTCCTGTTAACCCTTCATGTGCTGGTTTCATACCATCCTGCATATGAAGATAGAAATTGCCTGGGGCTTCATTAATGTGCTCTTAGGCCTCATATAACATTAGAGGTCTCTGGAAAGAGGTGAGCAGGTTGGCACCTGGTAGAGTTTTTATATTCGGTTTGGGATCACAGTTTTTTGATTTGATAACTGACACAGAATTAAGTTGGCACCTGTTTGGACTTTGGGCCTGCACTTATATATTTTTGTAATTTTGATTTACAATTTTTTGTGATAATATTTGACTGGTTATGTATTTTAGATTATATTTGGGTGTATTCACTATATCTAGTTTATACACAAACAGTGCTGCACAATTTTTGGTTATTTTTATTATTATGTAGTAGCTGAGTGCCTAGTCTACAGATAGCATTTAGATTCATTGTCACTGTTGACTGTATCTTTAAAGTAAATCCGTCCCAAACCTGGGTATGTTATACTGAACATATTGTTAAAAAAAAAAAAAAAAAAAAAATTATATATATATATATATATATATATATATATATATATATATATATATATATATATATATATATATATATAGTTCTTTAAGTAGAGTTTACTACTGCTTTTAGTGAAAACCACATGTCAAAATAATTAGTAAATCGGGAGGTAAAGGAAGCAAAATTATATTGAAATCTTGTTTTTTCCTGTTTAAGTCCTGGCATATTTTTTAAGAAATACATTTTTCCCCTTGCAGGTGTTAAAAAAACAAAAAAAGTCAGGTTGAAATATGCACTCTTATTCCCAAGTTTACCATCTCAGTATTTCTATTCTGCCAAAAGATGTACTCAGTCTTTTGACACCCGGCATCGCTGAAAACATTACTGTGACCAGGGGCGTATTTACCACAAGGCAAACAAGACATTTGCCTAGGGTGGCATTTTTTTAGGGGGGCAGCACTGCCCCCCCCCCAGAAGGAAGGATATGGGGACAAGGTGGGATCCAAGAGTCTGTGGGCTGCTTGATGGTGTATGCTGGGCCCAACTGTTGTTCCTGGGGATGGCCAGAGCTGTGAAGGTGAGTGTCTTGCTGTCACCAGGGGGGGAAGTGGGGGTGTTAGTGGAAGGCTCTTTTGGGTGGGAGGGGTTGGTCAGTGTCAGGCTCTCTCCGCGGAGGTGGGGGGGGGGGGGCTGGTGTTGGTTGGTGGTAGGTTCTCTCTGCCGGGGAAGGGGGGGGGGGGTCATCCAATTTTTGTGTTGGCTAGGGCAGCACAAATCCTAAATACACCATTGACTGTGACTGCAGGAGTTAATTATTATTATACAGTATTTATATAGCGCCAACGGTTTGCTCAGCGCTGTACACTACAATGGGAGGCAGTACACGAGACAGTACAGTAACAATACAATTCGATACACGAGGGGTTCGAGGGCCATGCTCCTTGGAGCTTACAATCTAGGAGGGAGGGATAGTGGTACAGGAGAAGATAGCTGTGGGGGATGGAGTGGTAGGAAGAGTGGAGGAGATCCGCAATTAGCTAAGGGTGGGGTAGGCTTCCCTGAAGAGATGGGTCTTCAGAGTGCATCTAAAGGAGAGGAGGGTAGGTGATAGTCTGATGGATTGGGGTAGGGAGTTCCAGAGGATGGGGGAAGCCCTGGAGAAGTCCTGGAGATGGGTATGGGAGGAGGAGATCAGGGAACTAGAGAGTAGGAGGTCTTGTGAGGAGCAGAAAGTACGTTTTGGGTGGTATTTGGATATCAGGTCAGTGATGTAGTTTGGGGCAGTGTTATGAACAGCTTTGTACGTCAAGGTTAGCATTTTGAATTTGATCTGTTGGGCAATCGGAAGCCAGTGGAGGGATTGGTAGAAGGGGGGGGTGGATACAGAGTGGTTAGTAAGGTGGATGAGTCTGGCCGCAGTATTCAGGATAGACTGAAGCGGGGATAGCCTGTGGTGACATAAGCTGGTGAGGAGAGAGTTGCAGTAGTCAAGTCGTGATATGATAAGGGAGTGGATGAGTTGCTTAGTAGTTTCCGGGGTTAGGAACGAATGTATTTTGGAGATATTGCGGAAGTGGAGTCTACATGAGTTTGTTAGTGATTGGACCTGGGGTTGGAAAGACAGGTTGGAGTCTAGGATGACACCTAGTACTCTGGCCTGCTGGGTGGGACTGATGGTGACATTGCTGGACGTGATGGATAAGTCAGGAGGGGGGGGGCGCGGTCTGGGGGGAAAACTAGGAGCTCGGTTTTGGAAAGGTTTAGTTTAGTTAATGGGCCCACCCCTAAACGGCACCACCATGGCACCCTGCATTTACTGTGTCATAACACCAATGACTATCTGCATCTCCAAGGACTGTCCATTGATGGAGAAGATCAAGAAAAGCCCCAGCAGCTCATAGTTCTGTAGTTCTGTGTCTACTGATCACTTTGATGGACATAACACTTGCCTTTTTATCATATGCTGAGTTTACATAGCTCAGGTTTATGAAAGGCTTCCTAAAAGGGATTTTGGGTACAGGAAAATTGTGTTATTCGATGACCTGACTGGGTATAAAAAGCAGCCTTGGAACATAGGTTCCCATTAGCCCCAGATTACAATTTTGTATACACAAGCCTAAGGCCAGAACCTTGTATGTGTTTATATGAAAATTAAGGCATTTAGTCAATGCCTTTGTCTCCACAATGAAGAACATTTCTAACAACAGAAGAACTTTACCCCACCAAAGAACACTGAGTGATTGTCCAAGATTTAGTGCTTTCATGATTTTGGCGCCACTTTATTTTGTGTGCACCTTCTGCTTTCTTTTCTTCTGTTCATCACTGATGATAACATTGGCTGCGTCAATCACATTTTCACTCTAATGCTACAAAGTACAGTAGGCGTGCAATATTTTGTGATTTTTGGTGTTAAATTAGCAGCACGTTGTATTTGTAATTTGTGCTGTAGTACATCTTGAAGCAGAATATTTTAATTGTCTTAGATATTTCTGGAGCACGTTTAAAAGGCTCAAAGAAGAAACTTCACTTTAAAGCAGAGATCCAGGCTCCCCTCAAAAATTAAAAGTCAGCAGCTACAAATACTGTAGCTGCTGACTTTTAATGTAAGGGAACTTACCTGTCCAGGGGTCCAGTGATGTCCTCACCCAAGCTGATTCTTCAATCAGCTTTGGGTGCTGGCGCTGACATCTTCAGTAAGGGAAACCAGAAGTGGAGCCTGGTGGCTTCACAGCTGGTTTCCTGTTGCAGATACGCAAAGTGCGCTGTGCTTTGTGAATGGGCCCCAGGCTTCTGGGACCTGCAAAGGTTTACTAAATGTAAAAATCAGTTCATTTAAATTTTTTTAATTACTTTGTAAACATTTTTTTATTATTTTTTTTACTCCTGTGACCAGAGCAGTACAATGTTACCATAGTAACATTGTACTACTCTGGGCAAGTTATCCGGATTTAATTTTTCTTTACACATTATGATTGCTTATACCAGTGAATTGCACTACTATAAACAACCATTTTTACTGAATGTAACTGATTAATTCATTAGTTATTGTTGTGATTAGCTGTGATTGGCCACAGCTGACCACATTGATATAGATGGGCTGGGATTGGCCCTGTCTGTACCATGTGATCATTGTGACCAATCACAGCTAACAACACAATTGTAAGCAATGAATGGCATGAAAGGAAGACATTCATTGTTTTCAAGTGTCACGTGAACTGCTGTGATTGGTCACAGTGATCACATGGTACCAGCAGCGGTACGGTACAGTGATCAGTCATCGGCTTCGTCCTTCAGAATAATAGGGATCCTGCGCGGCTGTCATGTTACAATAGGCCAGACAGGAAGGTGTTAAATGTGTTGTGTATTTTGTGTGTGCTATGTGCATTCTATTCTGTGCATGCTGTGTGCTGTATATTTTGTGTGCACTCTATGCTGTGTAGGTTCTGTGCTGTGCATACTTTGTAAGCTCTCTGCTTTGCAGATTCTGTGTTGAGTAGATTCATTTTTGTGTATCCTGTTTGTACTTTGCTGTGTATGCTTATTATGTTCTAGGTTTTTAAAATCTAGATCTGTTCAGTATTCAAGTGTGAAACTTTGCCTCTGTAACAAAGACCAATCACTTCTGCTCTCTCTTCTTGTGCAGGGTGACTGGTCTTGTCTCCACCCTCTCCTTTAGCTTTCTATGGACAACCAATGTTTCAGGATTATTGGTTATCTGAGTGTGAGGTATGACAAAGATACAACCTGCAGTATCTGTAGCAGAGTATGGCACAAAATACATGTTGCTAACTTGCTCATTCCAAGTTTAATGTGTTAAACAGAGATGGATTACGTTATGCAGATAATTACTTTCTTTATAG